TCGCCCAGGCCTTCGCCGGCGTCTTCCCGACTCCCCAGTTGATCTCCATCCACATCCAGCTCCCAGCCATATCTGAGGGAACTCACAACGACCACTCCCAATAGATAATAGACAAGTCAAATGGCGGATGCAAACCATACGCCATACTGCTACCTCACATTCGAGTTTAGAATACATTAAGAGCCACCACAAGTCGCCCGTTTTCATGAACCGGCGCAATTAATTTGTCGATTTTGAGTTTTGTGTGTATTTGATGTCAGTGTACCAATACCTGTTTCGACTCACATTTATATGACCTGTTTTTTCCCGATACTGTGTGAACAGCTTTGATATCTGGGGGATTGTTAGACCCGCTTCGAGTTCTATTGTAAACTTCGATTGGCCGACGAGTGGGAATTGCTCTGTTGTCTCTTTCGAACTTGTTGGCTCAATTTGTTCTCGCTTTATGATCACGAACTAATAATTTTTCTCGAGACATGGCATGCAGTAGGCTATCATGGCGTTGTTAGGGATTTTACAGTTATTGACAAACTTTGAACTCAGTTTCTGTAAAAGTAGGTTTTTGCACATACGCTGGTTCGTGAAAGCAAGGATGAATTGGCACACATACGTGACAGCAGGGCAACTTGAACGGTCGTGACCAGATTGGGCACAGGACACGGGCTGTGAAGCGATAGTGTCTGTATTGGTGGTCAAAACATTTGGCAACAGGGTTGTCGCGATACTCTTTTCTGAATTACTGAATGCCCTATGATTGGCTCAGAGTATTGAGTCGTGGTTGGCTTAGATACTGTGTTGTCACAATTGATGTTTTTCTTTGAGGGCCTACTTTTGTGCGCATTTAGTGATCCCCTTCAACAACTCTTTTTAGTTTCGTTATTGCCCACAGACTTGCCAAAAATACAAATATATATAGCCTATACTCGAGGATTTGAGAGAGGCTAGAAACGTCATATTAATGTCAAGAACCGCTGTAAATATCTGTTTTCATGTATATTTCGGTTTTATCAAATACCTTTAAAGTAAACTCAAAATCTCCGCTATTTCCTTTCAACAAGCGTTTGAAATAGAAGATGCACAAGGTAGAGGGGAGGGGGAGAAGGAAAGACCATATAAGATAAGTTGAGGCCCAAGGTATCTCCTACATTGGGTCTCCGTTTCCGATTCCTAAGGCCTAAGCCTCCCCCACGAGCGACGGTTTGGGGGGTGAGGCGAGAAAGTACTGTCAAATTGCAGTTTTGTTGTTATTTCTGGGAATATATTTCGTGTATGTGTAGATATGCTGAAATCACGCAGATTCGCTGCACTTGAGATCATTTGAATGTGAATAGTTATACATTTGTATTTGGCACATTTATTAAGGGTTTTCCGTAAGCTTGTCTGGTAATCTTCTAATTTTCCTAAACCCGTAAACTTTCGCGTGCCTGCCATTCAGCTTTTAGACTTATTTTTCTCATCTTTTCTTTAGTACATTGAATGTTACTTTTCATTACATTCCTTCCAAATTCCAGAAAGAATATTACCTCAACCCGCACTCTGGAGCATTCCGATTCGCAGCCATTTTTGAGGAAAACAAATAAAGTGTTGAATAAAGCAATTTTAAAAAAATACACAAAACATGCAACATCCATTTTGTAATCTACATATGTAAAAGTATGTCAATAAATTTATGGCACATATTTGGAAACCTGAAGCATGTACAAATACCAAGTATCAGCTGATGAGACTGACAAAGACCTTAAGAATCGGAGTACTCCAGTCTGCTTTGAGTAATTTGACGGACTGGCAATGGCATTTAATTTGGGAAATAAGAGACACCTCCGAGTTTCACTAACTCACAGATCCTTATGTGATTTAGGGATATTACTGGTAAATAAAACCAACACATTTTTTTTCGATTTTTCAGATCTTTATTGAAAAAGGCCCTATTATCTTACTTATGAAGTGAAAACACTAGCCTACATGAATCTGAAACTCAGCCATGGCTATGAAAACTGGAGTGATGACAATTATAAAGACTTGAACAGAGAACTGGAATCTCCTGGGTATCGGCATGGCCAGAAACCAGGACCCTCAGGAGAGCTAACCGAACACCCCTTGCGTCCTTTTGTGGAAAAATGTTGGGGGGGGGGGGGGAGGAAATTATATATGAATATTATGGAGACCATAGAAAAGTAAACTGTAATGATCATAAAATAAAAAATGAATAAAAATAGAAAAAAAATAATGATGAAAAAATAACTTTTTCTAAACAATAATGAAGATATAAAAAGTAAAGGCTTCTTGGTGAATTTTCCTTCGAAAAATTTCTATAATACAGGGCAAAGATATTTTTTCTAAAAGAAGCCTTTCCTTAATACAGTATCTGTATGTAAACATTCAACAAAAAAGGTAATGATGCAATAAACTCTGGTTATATCACATCCAATTAAGACTTTGTACATAACACTCTAAACTCACCCTCTTTTTTAAAAAAGAGAATTGCTACATAATAAATGCTTCAACCTTCTGGTAATCTGTCCTGTTCCACTGGCATGTATTAGGCAATTTCATATTATGAATGGAAATGGTGGCTCATGTGACATTATCAGCCCTTCTCTGCGAGGGTGACCCGGTTCCTGGCAAACAAATGCCTTTTCAATGAGATTACTTGATCCCAATCGCAAATTATGTTGCTGCTGCTCGGACTAATAAAATAAAATAAAATAAAATAATAAAAAAATGAGAACCAATAGAACTTAACAAGTCTGGTTTGTGAGCAGCACATACTGGTCAATTTGTGCGATTCTGTCCACCTTTGTGCTAAAACAAAGGTTTGAAAAAAGTAACATATCACATGAAGAACAAATGAACAGTGCAGGGAAAGTACCTTGGTTTGTTGCATTACCTTTGTGTCGCTATTACTCTAATGAAACTAGACCATGCGAGACCCATAGATGCAGCCAAGAGACACAACCAAGCAAGGACTAAACTCAGACCTTTGCTCCATGTCCCATGACACCCTACAACTATGTAACAATACAGATTAACTGGTGAAGAAAAGACATTCCCTTGCACCGTAATGAACAACAAATGACAACAGAAATAAATTAGGGATGTGGTCATGTAATACCGTTTAACTGTCATTCACTACTATTCAACTATGGAAGGTTGCCTATTGTTGCCTTGCCAGTAGTCCAGGAGTCAGGCTACCTCCTCACCGTCTCGGTTTCTGTGAATGATGATGCCTTCCATCCAGTGTCTGAAACTCTCCATCTAGACTCCTCAGAATTGTTTTTTAGTTTTTTGTTTTTTCTCCATGGGTGGCCAACTCCATGACAGCAACCAGACACTGCTCACCAGGCGACCACCCCGGTTGCTGGCGCCACGGTTGAAGGGCTCGCCACCGCTGAACCAACAGCACCCTTCCTCCACTGGTCACATCACAGAGAGCTTCCTTATCCTAAAGTGACTAGGAACCCCAGGTGCAATATGGCCCAGCTGCAGCCATGACACAGACACTGTAATAACAGGTAGGTGGGCCAGAGCTAGACTGAACACACTGAGTCACTGTCACTGAGGGTCCTTTGTCCCACTGTCCACCAGCAGCAGCATTGTCCCATCACCAATACTGACACGAGCTGGTGGGAGCTGATGACAGGGAGGCTGGACAGGCGCCTGCCCATCAGCTCTTCCACTTGGAGTGAGACTGCTGGCTGTGTAGGCCACCTGATGGGATCATGTCCAATAGGTACTGGCGGTGAACCTCAGCTGCTTGCCGCATCAGCTCTTGCTGTTGTTGAGCTAAGCTTTTGCTACTGTTACTGCTGCTATTACTACTACTGCTGGAAGTTGAGGGTGCAGAAGAAGTAGGGGGAACACCTCCTAGCTGAGCTGCAGATGCAGCCATCAGTTGTTGCAGCTGACCAATGCCGAATGGATTGTAAGGCCCTAGTAAATACGGGGCTAATATGTGCGGTTGTAATTGTTGGGCAGCAGCAGCGGCTGCAGCTGCAGCTGCTGCGCCACCAATACCTTGCATTCTAAGCAGCTGTTGTTGTGCAGCTTGGAGCTGTTGAAGGGCAGCTGGGTTAGACATAGCAGCAGCCATAGCAGCTGCCGCTGTCATGCTTTGCATGTACTGTTCTTTCTGTTGCTTACTAAGACCTGGTGGCAAGAACATTTCCTTTTCACGCTGTTCACGTTCGCGCTGCTCGCGTTCTCTTTGTTCCCTCTCCCGCTGTTGCCTCTCCTCTTCACGTTTTCTCTCTCTTTCGCGCTCCCTCTCTCTTTCCCTCTCACGTTCTCTTTCTCTTTCCCTCTCTCTTTCACGCTCTCTCTCCCTTTCCCTTTCCCTCTCTCTTTCTCTCTCCTTTTCTCGTTCTCTCTCCCTCTGTCTCTCCCTCTCCCGCTGCAGCTGGAGCTGCGCCGCCACTGAGGGCGAGGAGCGGTGGCTGGAGGGCCTTGCCCCGTGGCTGTAGTCAGACTTCACAGCTGTCACCGAAACACTGGCAGGGAGGCGGGCTGACGGGGATGGTATGGATGCCGTGACAGGAGTCATGGATACTGATGCACTGGATAAATCTGGTTGGGGGGAGGCCTGCCAAAGAAAATGGGTTTGGAGTTACAACAATGGCCAACATAATGAAAAATATATATCAATATTGAACAAATATAGTCATTTTCTTTAAGTATGACACAAAAAGAGTATGGCTAGAAAATCTAAGAAAATTAGAACATACAATCTGCATATGCATGTTCACTAACTCACCCACACATACCCACTCAAACACATACTCAAGATTCTCTCTGTCTGTCTGTCTGCCTCTCTCTCTCTGACACACACACACATGTGTATAGCTATACATCTGTATATTTATATATATATATATAATATGTATATATATATATATGATAAGTATATATATATATATATATAATATATATATATATATATATATATCATATATATATATATAATAATATATATATATATACAATATATATATATTATATATCAT